TTTGTTTTGCTTTAAAATTTTTAAAATGTACTTATTCTTTACTTAATTAGCTAGCACATATTTGCAGTACATTGTGTTTATATTCCTTGTAGGGAGTTGATACAAGTACACAACACTTCTTCCTTCTTTTTTCTTCCCTTCCTCTCTCCTCTCTTCTTCTCCCTCTATCCTTGATCCCCTCCTCATTTAAGAAAAGTCTATCTCCTTACTTCCTATGATCTATCTTTTCTTTTACTCTTTATTTCTATCTTGAGTTTCTCATGTAAGAGAAACTGCAGTATTTAAGCTTGTGTGTTTCATTATTTCACTTAAGATTATGGTCTCAAGGTGCATCCATTTTCCTAAGGATGACTCAAGTGTATCCTTCTTTACATGCAGAGTAGTACTCCATCATGTGTAAATACCACATCTTCTTTATGCATTCTTCTATTGTTGGACATATAGGCTGCTTCCAAGATTTAGCTATTATGAGTTGTGCTGCTATAAGCATGAGTGTGCATGGATCACTGCGATATAATGCCTTTAACTCTTTGGGGAAGATATCTAACTGGGTCAAATGGAATGCCTGGTTTTAGTGTTCTGAGGGATCTCCATGCTGATTTCCATAGTGGTTGTTCTAGTGCACCTTCCTACCGACATGCAGAAGGGTCCTCCCGCCCTGAAGCCTCACCAGCATTTGTTTTCATTTGATTTCTTGATGACGGCCATTCTTTCTGTGGTGAGAGGGAATCTAGTGCTATTTAAATTTGCATTTCTGTAAAGATAGGTGTTGAACATTTCCTCATGTACTTGGCCATTTGTACTTCTGATGAGTGTTTATTCATTTCACTTGCCCATTTCTTGATTGAGTCTTTTATTTTGAGGGGTCTAATTTTTTGAGGTCTTTACGTATTTTAGATAGTAGTCATTTGAGGAATAGCTGCCAAAATTTTTCCCATTCTGAAGGTTGCCTTTTCACTCTGTTTGTTGTTTCTTTTGCTGTGCAGAAGCTTTTTAATTTGATAGATCCTGTCTGTTGACTCTTGGTACTATTTTCTGTGAAACCAGGGTCCTGTTCAGAAAGTCTTTGCCTATGTCTGTGATCAAGAGTTTTAGCTATCTTATCTCCCAACAAGTTAAGTGTTTCTGTTTTAACTTTTAGTCCTTTGATCCATTTTTTTCCCTTTGATCCATTTTGATGTTGGTTTAGTACATGGTGAGAAAAAAGGGTCTTGATTCAATCTTCTCCATGCAGAAAGCCAGTTTTCCCAGCACCATTTATTAAAGAAGCTCTTTCCTCCAGTGTACATTTGGCCCTTCTGTCAAAGATCAAATCATTGCCTGTGCTTGGGGTTGCTTCTGCATCCTCTCTTCTGTTCCGCTGATCTCCACATCTGTTTTTAATTGCAGTAGCTCTGTAATATAACTTCAAATCTGGGATTGTGGTGCCCTCATTTGATTGTTACCCAGAATTACCTTTGTTATTCTGTGTCTTTGGGGTTCCATATGAGTTTTAGGATTGTGTTCTGCAGTTCTGTGAAGAATGCTGTTGGTAGGGATTGCATTAATCTGTGTATCAATTTTGGAAGTATGACCATTCTGACTCTCTTGGTTCTGCTTACAGGATCAGGGGTATCTTTCCATCTTCTGGTGTCCTCTTCAATTTCCTTTTTCAGAGTACTGTAGTTTTCATCTGCTTCCTTAAATTAATTCTTAAGTACTTAATTTTTCTTGATGTTTTCATGAATGGTATTTTTTCCTAATTTCTTTCTCACTAGGTTAATTACTGGTGTACAGGAATGCTATTGATTTTTGTGTGTTGGTTTTGATGAATTTGGTTATTAATTCTAAGAGACTTTTGGTGAATTTTTGGGATCTTCTATGTAGAAAGTCATGTCATCTGCAAATAATGATATTTTGATTTATTCTTTTCCTATATGTATCCCTTTTATTATTAATTTTCTTGCCTAATTGCTCTGGCTAATGTTCTGAGTACTGTGTTGAACAGGAGTGGTGATAGTGGACATCCTTGTCTTGTTTCTGATTTTAGAAGGAAGACTTTTCATTTTTTCCCCATTTAATATGATGTTGGCAGTAGATTTGTCATAAATGTCTTTTATCAGATTGAGATAAGGTCCTTCTATGCCTATTTCGTGTTATGTTGGATTCGATCAAAGGCTTTTTCCGCTTCTGTTGAGATGATCATGTGTTTTTGTTCTTGCTTCTGTTTAGGTCCATTTGTTTTACTTTGGGGAAATATACCTAACATAAAATTCACCATCAAGCCATTTTCATCTTTCAGTGGCATTAAGTACCAAGGGGCAAAGCTTTTATCAGGAGGAGCCACTTCTAGGTTTCTGCCCTGCCCATTTTCCAGGTGGTGTCCAAAGCTTGGATGGCTGTTCCAAGCAGAAGGAAGGGAGACCATTTACTATTTCAGTCACAGCCAGACTGTAACTGTTAAGCCAAGCAACAGGGCTGGCTAGTTCATGCTGAGCATTTTACTCCACATTTCCACTACGCTCCTTTGGCATGTGGTGGGTTGCATAAGTGTGTGTGTATGTGTGTGTGTGTATGTGTACATGCGTGTGTACACACACGTTACATCGTTACATGGTGGGGCCTCAGGAGACCCTTGAAGGCTTCAGGGTTTGACCTGGCACCTGACCACCCTCTGTTCTGAGCTCTGCCCCTTCCTGTGGTCTCCTGCATGGTCCTCCATCCCACCACACCCCAGCTGGACACTGCCCTGGGCGCCACCGCTGTCAGCCTGGTACCAAATTCCTAGAGCCCATGTTGCCCACAGTGTTAAAGGCTGGAGCACTTGGGGGCACCCCAGGTGCAGGCTGTAGAACTGTCTGGTGTACACTGCACACTGTAGCCTACCTGGAGACGAGAAGGCCTCAGACACGTAGACAGAGCAGTGGGGTGGAGTTTCCTTTGCTGTGATGGACAAGACTTGGACCCAGTAGTTTTGCGCCCCTCTTTTCCAGGAGGGCGAGCCTCTCACCCTCAGTGCCCATCTTGTGGTTTAGACAACCTGACTCTGCTTGGGCGGCCGGTAGAAGCTGTTCCTGTTGGGCCAAGGATGTGACTTCTAGCTGCCCCTCCCTGTGCGTTGTTTGCTGCTGGGTCCTCCCACTGCATAGGGTCGTGGAATCTCAAAATCCTCTCTCCCCAGGCTAAGTGCTCTTCCTAGAACTTCTCTTTCTGTGGATGGTATCTCTTCTCCATTCAAATGCTCTGAGTCTTTCCTTTTCCTTGTCGCCGCGTCTGGGTAACTCAAACATTGGGCAGATTTCCTCTCCACAGTCCTCCGCATGGTCCTTTCCTTCCCTCTCCATCACCAGCCCTCTGGTTCGGCCTCCTCAGCATGGACCTGGGCCCTTACCACAGCCGCCATCTTGGGTGCCTCTCTGTGGAGATTGCAGTCTCCTTCTGTGGACTGGATCGTCTCACCGGGTACATGTTCAGTCTTGTCACTGATGTAAGCTCCCTGAAGACACAGTCTGTGTTGTATTCATTCTTACTTCCCCGCGTCTAATCCAGTGCCCATACCTGACAGAGACTTACTAAGTCTGGATTGAACTGGTTGTTTCTCTGTTGAAATGGTTCAGTTTCTTCTTATTTCCTGCTGGGCCGAGTTCCGCCCTGACATTTGGGCCCCCGTGTGCCTGCCCTTACCTCCCTGCTGTCATCTGCCGCTGGTACACATGCCTCGGGGAAGCCGAAACACTGGCTTCCGCACATGCACGCTACACTTTCACACCGCTGCCTTTCCTTCCACTTCGGAATGCACATGAGTAAAATTCTAGTCATTCCTTACCTTTTTCCTAAATTTAAACTTTTTAAATGATAAAGCTGCTTTATTTTATAATTTACAAAGCTCTCAAGTGTCCTAAATTCAGTATGTTTGAAATATTTACTGATAAAATGGGAAACAAGAGGGAGAGGAGAGGAAAGGGATGTAAAAAGGCCCAAGCTGCTGTGTGCATAGATGCCAACTCCTCCCGGTGAATGTCTTATTTTTCATTGCATACATATACTAATACAAAGGGGGGGAGAAAAATGTTATTTGAATCTCCCCTAACCTGGACTGTTATGCAGGCACTGGAAATTATAGTTGTGGTTATTTATGTATTATTCTTTTATATTTCATATGTTTGAGATTTCCCTATAAAACTGTAAGACTGTGCTGTTACCAGTCATGCGTAAGAATATGAGTGTTTTAGAGGGGTGGAGTAATTGTAACTGACCCTCCTTCCGCGTGTGCTCCCCTCCCCTCGGATGTCCCCCGGGACACGCTCTGGTCAATCCGGAGTGCGCTGCAACACTTTGCTGCTTGGAGCTGAAAGTCTCTAAGAGCCAGCCTATGAGTTGCTGCATTTTCGTTCCCAGACAACAGACATGCGAATCAGAAGGAAAAGTTCCTGAGCTTCGGGCTGTTTGTTGCCACCCATTGATACGGCAGGTGGTGCAGACAACTAGGTCATCGAAGGCAAGAGAACAGGGACATTTTAAAAAATGCACAGCTGTGCCTGTCAGTGGTCAGGGAATTGCTTAAGGCTGGCCCTTCTCCCAGAGAGTGAGGTGCAGCAGGGGCTCAGAGTCAAGAATGCTAATAAAATAAGAATGTGGGGCCGGGGATTTAGCTCAGTGGTTCCCCCACCTGCCTCACAAGCACAAGGTCCCGAGTTTGATACGGGGTACCAAAAACAACAACAACAATAATAATAATAATAATAATAATAATGTGGGATCCTGCTGGAAACCAAGGGGTCACAGCCCAGAAGGAATCCCTGGAACGTCGAGAAGTCGGGAAAGCCAAGATTCAGAGCTGCTGCACTCTGGGAGGGTGCAGGCCGAAGGCTGGTCCATTCCCTGCCTCCCAGCAGAAGTGGATGTGCTATCCCAGACCAGGAGGGCCATCGCCATCCACCAAGCCTGAGTCCAAATCAAAGGTCAGAAAGCCACGGTGGCAATGGGGAGAGCATGAACATCCAGCCTGTGCCCCAAGAAGCTTGGATACTGGAGTTTTCAGGTACAGAATTTTTTTATTTATAAAAATGTATACACCAATTATATGCTAGGCATTGTTATAAAGATTTCTCAAATTTTGGCATATTTAATTCTCATTAAAACCCTATGAAGCAAATACGATTGCTATCCCGTCTTAAAAATGAAAAAGCTGAGGCACAGACAAATTAGGAAATTTGTCCTCCTCAATTTCTCTTCCGTGGTAGCACTACAATTCAAGCAGTTCAGTTCTAGAGTTTATCACTATACCTTGTTGCCTTTCTAATAGAGAATCGCAAAACATTTAAGAAAATATGGAGTGAACTCCTGAAGATAAACCAGAATGAAGGACCCTCAGGGGTGATCAGGTAGATTCCCAAAAAGGAAGAAAGAAGGAAGAGAGGGAGGGAGAGAAGAGGAGAGGCCTGAAGGAGCGAGGGAGGAAGAAGATAAGGAAAGAGGGAAGAAAGGGTTAAGATCAAAAATAAAATCAATAAAAGCAATTTAATGAATATGTTAACTATCTGAAAAGAGGACTTGTGAATTAAGGAAATAGGTGAAGAAATTGTCTAGAATGTAGTAGAAAAAGTAGGAAATGGAAAACATGAAAACAAACTCAAAAAGGTTAAAGATGCAGAAGACAGAATGAGAAGTTTTCAAATATTCATTTAATCGGAGTTTTGTAACGAGATGATAGAATCTAAGGGACACAATATTTGAAACCCTAATACCCGGAAGCTCTTCTGACCTGATGAAAAGACCCAAGTCCACAGATGTAGAAGCGGAGTAGGTCCTCAGAGGAATAAGTGGAAGGAAATTCGTGCCTCAGACATGTTACAGAGAATCTGGAGAACGTGGAGAAGCAGCGGGTGGCCAAGGAAGACCTCGCTGGAGGCGCTGATGATTGGATCACCGCAGACTTCTCAAGAGCAATGGAGACGCAGTGCGACAGTGGGAAACACTCCCGGTGCCCAAGGGAAGTGTCCGGGAAAGCTATATATCACGAACCAGAGCAAAAGAGAGACAGATCTGGGTGAAGAGAAATGAGCAGAGCACCCTGAAGAAGCACCCAGCCTGGGGAGAAGACTTGTCCCCAGGGCTCCTTCTCCCCAGGAGCTCCAACGGGAGCCAGGGGCCCAGAGCCCTCCTCCTGTGTGCCCTTATGGACAGACTCTTCCCTCCACCCACACTGCTCCTGACACTCCTGAGCAGCTGTTCTCCTGACACTTGCGGGAGGGGCTTACTGAGCACCGCTGAAGCCTCGAGTCAGAGTCCCATGCAGTGTCCCAAAGGCCATCGGCACCAAAGGCCGCTCTCTTCAGGGCTTCTGCGGTCAGATCGTCCGGAAACACCGCACACAGCTCTGCTGCTGCTGCAGATGCACCACGTCGCTGTGCTTCTCCTGCATGTCGCAAAATCATTTGAACACAGAAAACTCCATCTCCTTTTCCCGTGACATCCTCAAGAGACTGGTGTTTCTAATTTCAAATTTTAGGAAAATACTGCGGGAGGCAGTGCCTCATTTGAAAGTGCCAAGCACTTTCCATTAATAGCTGACTTCATGGTTAGTGTTTCTTTGTTTGTTTGTTTGTTTTGGTACCGAACTCAGGACCTTGCACTCGCAAGGCAGGCACGAGAACCACTAGCTAAATCCCGGGCACCGCATGGTTAGTTTCAAGTCATTTTACCCCAGGTTCCTTACCTGTGCTAGCTGAGCAGACAGCCACTTCCAACTCTAAAATTCTGCAGGTTTCAGGACCTTGCCTGTGACACTCAGTCATTCATTCATTTTGCAGATACCGGACTCCTACTGTGCAGCACCCTGCACTGCGCTGGGCAGAAGCAGCTCTGTCACGGTTTCCTCAAGCCACCAGTTGAGGATGCTTTTCTGGAGCTCGCTCTCAGAACATCATTCTTTGATTCACAGAACCAAATATATTCTGGTTAAAAAGTGGTTATTTACTGTCTCGCTCCTTATGTGGATCAGGTTGTGGAATGAATCTTTAGAATCTAAACCTCTAGGCTTATGACTCTACTTCACAAAAGACTCCCACTGTAAGAATAAAAAACATTAACGTGATCAGTTGGGCACATCTAGTTTTTAAATCTCCATCTCTGACTTTCTTTGTAAAGGTCCAGTGCTGTGTGAAAAGCAAACCCCAAACGTCCGGCGTCGTGGGGGAGAGCTGTCCGCTCAGCACTCTGCACTTTGCCTCACTTCATCCTCCCGGAGCCACCGCAGCCAAGCCCCCGTGCCCACTCGGGGTTACGGAGATGGTGTGATGCCTGTAGGCCCGGCCAGGGAGCTGGGCTTCAGCCCCAGGCTGCCCTGACTCCAGAGTGAAGCTGACACTGTGCTTCACTCGTGTGTCACTGCCATACACGGCAGGGAGCTGGTGTGAGTATGGAGCGTATCCTACTCCCTCCTCCTGCTGCCACTATCCTTGGTGTTCTATTCAGAAGAGAAAATAGCATAGAATGGGGTGGAGCAGAGTTGGGCCCTGCAGAGTCTCTGCTGCATCCTTGAGATTTGACGTCTCTGAGGAGCTGAACAATTGTAGGGCTTTTTAACTCCAGCTGGGCCATGCGCTAAGGAGATCATGAAACATGAAAAGCTTCCCCCTCTCTTTTGGCCGAGTGCTAATCTTCCTGGTCTGGCACACTGATAGTCAGGTGACGTGACCCTGAGGGGACCACTATATCCACCAGCTCCGCGCACACTGTGTTCTCAGAAAGTATTTCAGAGACAAAGCTCACGCTCAGACCTAAAACGTTCTTTCACCATCTCCAGCCCCACGCAGTATTTATGCAACTGCATCAATGATGTGGTAAGCTATACTCCTGGGCACAAGGGACATTTTAACCATAGAATGTTGCATTTTCAGAAGAGAAGCACAATATAGTGAAAGAGTGGATGCACACCGTGTGGACGAGAGCTCTTGGCGCTGTCTTAGGAACCTTTCTGCATGGAAATGGATGAAACATAAACAGCCCTTTGTCTACCCCATGATGAGAAACTCCCTGACGGGGCGCGCACTCGGCAACTTCCAAACTTGTCCTTTTCAACCTGCGGCCAGGAACGCATTTCCATAATTTCTTGGCCGCTGGCACACAGCTAACCGACGGCCCCGGTTCCGCCGTGCGTTAACTGGCAACTTGTGGGTCCTGCATGGAGCCGCTTCCTCCCCCACAACCCAGATGAATCCCTTTCCCAGGCTAACTTCCTGGGATTCTGATCCAGATCGGATTCCACCTCTGCAGCAAGACAGAAGCCCATGAAGGGTACCTGCTGGAGGGAACTGCTGTTTGTTTTTTTCTTTAATTTTCTGGTAGTAAGGATTGAACCCAGGACCTTCACACTAAGACACCCTTCCATCCCTTTTTATTTTTATTCTGGGCAAGGATCTTGCTTATTTGCTAAGTTGCCCAGGCTGGACTCAAACTTGCTATCCTCCTGTCTCAGCCTCCCACAGTGCTGGGATCACAGGTATGGGCCCCTGTACCGAGCTTTCTTCAGGCCACGTGCCCGAGTGTGAGATCAGACTTGAAATAATGACACGCCCGCGAACCGGGTAGCGACCTCGTACAGGACTAGGCTCAGGTTCTACTTGCAGGGCCTCATCCTCCCCGCCCGGGTGACAGTGGGCAGGGTGCGCTGACAAGCCCTGAGGTGGCCTTCGGCCCTCTCTCCAGCTTCTCCCAGGCTGTGTTCACACCAGAAGTGAGGCCCGTTCTGCTCCCTTCTCTTGCAGTCTGTTTACGCTGCAGCTCTCCCCGGGGTAAATGACCCAGCATCGCACAGCAGTTGCACTTGTGAAGTCAGAGGGTCTCACTCTTTAAGGCACAAGTCTGTTAAAGTTTTTACGACTTGCAAACGAAGCAGTGTTTCATCTTCAGCTTGAGACAGCTAGAGTCGAAGAGAGAGCCTTCCACACCAAATAAATTAAGCATCGGAGTAATTTACAGTTCCACGCACCCTTGCCAGACTGGCCTAACTGAATGCAGTCAACAGATTAAATGTTCCCTTGGCAGCAGGCGAGGGTCTGAGACTGCACACCTGGGCTGCCCGTTGGGACTCTGCGTTGAATCGCAGCCAAACCTAGGCCGGGCCAGGCAGCAGAGCTGGTGCTGGAGGTGGAGCCCACGTGCGGCAGGTACTGTGGTAGCAGTGCCAGGTGGAGGGGTGGGGGCCTGAGCACAGGGCAGGCGAGTCTTCCCTCTGTGTGTGCAGCGGCTCTGCCCATGTCCTGTGTGGGAATCCACCAGCATAACTGTGTTTTCACCATCTCAGAACAAGACAGAGAATGAGCAAACACTTCATACCTGGAGTCAGAATTTATCACTCTCAAAGTCAAAGCGAGAACCCGCCGGGGACCCCAGTCTCCCTGTCTGGGGGTCCAGTGTGGCCCAGCACCTGCCCTCGCCTGCTGTCCTTCCCGGCCGCTCTGGCCCGGCCTTAGGGTCTTCAGAGAGGAGTTTTCAGTATGCCAGCTAGTGACGGGGTCACTCTGGGGAAAGCTGGCGTAGGCCCCAGCAGACACACAGACGTGCTGGTGGGGGGAATCACTGCACCCCATCCACAAACAGGGCTCCCCGCCTCCCTCCCGGGCTCTCAGAGGAATCTAACAGAGGAAGGAACCCGGGACCCCACTTCTTATGTCTTGGTGCAGCCTCTGTAGAAAGGAGCGGGGTGGGCATCAGAGAAAAGAAGAGAAAGCCCACACCCACACTGCACGCAGGCCCGCTGCCCCTCCGGGCCAGGAGAGGGCAGGGTGGCGGGACGAGTCGGCGTCGGCCGTGAGGCGTCCACACTGAGCGTACAGCCTTGAAACTGGGTCGCTGCCACTTCTCCTGGCACACAGACACTTTCTGCCCTTAGAGAGAGGAGGAGAGAGCCTTCCCCTGGCTGGCTGTGGCTGTGGCCTTGAAGACCTCAACGGCCCCTTTGTTGTCTTGGGCCCTGTGCAGCCCGGCAGGTGTGACGGTGCCCTGCTCCACGGGCAGCGCACTTTGAAGCCAGAATCAAGGACACGGAACCTTCAAGGAAGCAGGGCCCTGATCATCACAACACCCGCTCGCTGTGACCTTCACCCCTCAGCCACTGCCTCCCTCCAGTGGCGCCGGCCCAGGTCCCTCCAGATGGCTCTGTGCCCGCCCAGGCGGCCCATGGAGGAGCCACCCCTCCGCCACCCTTTGAAGGCTGCTTAATCTCTTCGCAGACACAGACCCGCCAGCCCAGGGGCCCGGACCCAACCTCTGAGGGGCCACCAGGCCAAGTGACCCCGGAGCTCAGGTGGGATTCACATCTCTCACCTGTGCTGTCTGCGATGGCCCACCTGGGCCTGAGAGGTGGGTGGGACTGCCAGCCTCGCCATGTCAGCCATCCTCGTCCCATCCTGGAGGCGACATCTCAAGGCCAGGGGAAGCTCAGAGCGGGGGCTCCTAGCTTCATCCTGTATGTGAGCGTTTGAAAGCAGAAGCCAAATGAGTAAAAACAGAAAGAGCTATAAACTGTCACTTGAAAGGAACGGCTGAAGAATCCATCTACGCCAAATGCGCAGTCGCAGCGATAATCATCTCTGATTTGGTCTCCTTGGCTTCTCCGGGCAGAGCCTGGCTGTGCTCAGGCTCACATTCTTCTTCCTGCTTCTGAGAGCCAAGCGTCCAAGTCAAAGGTTACACAACAGCCCCTGCCCAACAGCTGCACACACGCACGCACCAGCCCTGGTCCTCAGGGACCCGCTGAATTGTAGGAGTTCTTTTAGAATTTATTCAACATTATCATGAATCCATTTTAATGCAGTTTAACATTTTATTTATTTTAAATGGAAGTAAAATTGTACTTCCTGGGCCGCCCCAAAACTGCATGTGCTGAATGGAAAAACACCAGAAGCATTATTCCCCGGAAAGCCTGAGGCAGCCGGAAGTGCGCTGCACTGTGAGGACAGCAGCGTCCCATGCTGGAGCAGTGGTTCTCAGCTGCTGGACACACAGCAGTGCCGGGGCCACTGTGGCTGTCCCTGCTGGGCACAAGGTGCGGGGCCGCCAGGGATGCAGCCCCAGAACGAAGAATGGTCCAGCCCCAAACGTCCAGGAGGAGGAAGCTTGCTCTTTCCATCCAATGCGGCCAAAGATAAGCATACACAAGAAAACAAGTGCAGAAAGAAAGGATTTTCATTGTCCTTGAGCTGTGAGTTACACACATCACCTAGATAAACAAAACCATTAAACACTCTTAAAACTCACCAAGCAGGAAGTAAGGTAGCTCAGTAAGAACTCTAAGAGCCTTTGCATTTTCCAACAGGGTTGCCTGTCTGTTTTACAAACATTTTCTGAGAGTAAAAGGCTCAGTTTCCACAAAACAGATTTTGAAGGTTTTGTAAGATTACAGTTATACAGTCGTAGATTATGTTTATATAAAGATTATAATGCATTTCAAACTATGGAAACTTTAGATTGTTTCATGACCTGGATTACAATACTGTACTATAAAGCATTATAGGAAACCTAGATAGACATGTCTCCCCAAACTATAAGCTGAATTTCAGGACTTTTTTTCTTTTTTTAAAAAAAAGGTTGTTTAAAGTTCCAAAAAATGAATTGGGTGCAGTGAATGTGTGTGTATGTGTGTGCCTGCACACGCATGCGTATGTATCTGTGTACACACACACCCCTTGCAAATCATGTTTCATGAAGGTGGACTCCAGTGCATCTGCAGGAATGAGTAGCTGTCTGTAACCCAGATTATTTTGTCCAACAGATGTAACTTCTTGAGAGGACCCCATAATTATCCATCTGTCCCCACAACTGACACAGATCAGGAATCCAGCAAATGTTCAAGAACCGATGAGATAAACATGTAAACAGTGAGAGCTGGCCTCTTAACTCACTAGTCAGATGTTCCCTTACAATGCCAGCAGTTGTGACTCGGAATCTTTAAGAAAGCTGGGATTGAGAGGCATGGTTTTACAGGAGGTTTTACCTCCTTCGCAACTATAAAACCATTCTAGGCTAAAGATAAAGTGAATGAGCAGAAATCAACCAGCAATATTTACTAAGGACAGTAAGCTCAATTTTTAAATGTTAAAGACTTGGAAGACTATAAATACCCATATGCGAATCACCTGAGAATCACAATGGCTTCCTGAGCCTCCCAATCACTCCAGGATAAGCCTTTGAAATGAGAGGAGGAGGAGAGAACTTAAGAAAAACCAGAGAAGGAGCAAAAGCTTTGCCTTTCTTCACCCCCTCCATCCAATCCCACCGGCCTCTCCAGTCATTCACGCAGTGTCACGGCACTGAGCGCACAGCGGGTTTGATGTCCGCCCATCGAAGTGTGGCATGGGCACAGAGTCATGTCCAGGAGGCCTCAGACGCGTTCCCCAGGGGCCCATTCCACACCTTCCTCATTCTCTGGGGCTTCCATTTCGAAGCTAAGGGACAAGAGAAATGACACAGCCCCGCCCTGTGCTGCACACCCACGTCCCAGTTGCCGGGACCCTGTGTCCTCCGCCTGAGCTGAGGGAGGCCTGATACCTGGTGGAAGGTGTCTCTGTGGCCATGAAATGTTTCTGGAGATGGGAGACCGGGGGAGCAGAGCACGATCACCAACTGCACCCCCAAGTGGGCCCGTCGCCCGCTGGGGGCCTGGAGAGAACAGAATGGAGGGGCAGGGTGTGTCCTGGGCGCCCTGAGGTGCCGTGGTCTCTGTCCCCTGACGCTCACCCTCCAGACGTGGCCGAAGGTGCCCTCCAGTCTTTCTGCGCCTCCAGCCTGTGCACGGCAGATGCTGGGCTTTCTAGCCTCCACGATCAGGTGAACAAATTCTTGTGATGAATCTGCCTCTAGCTCTGTTACTGTTGTTTCCCTGGGAACTCAGGAGGGGTGGGCGGGGCTGGGGAGGTGGTAGTGAGTGAAGCTGGGCAAGAGTAGAAGAAACCCCGAGGCAGAGGGGCCCAGGGGGCTTTGAGGCCAGCGTGGGCCATGGGTGTCAGAGGAAGAGCGAGCCCCGGGCAGCCTGGGTAGCGAGGAGGCCTGGAGAAGAGCCAGCGGCTTGTGGCCCAGAGTAAGGACCTTCTAGGGACATGGGAAGTTCTGCCACAACCCGATGGGCACCCCTGAGCCCCTCTGCCCCCTGTGCCGGGAACAGACCAGAGGGCAGCAGCGAAATGCGGAAGGCAAGGGGAGAGCGTGGCACCGAGGGCAGGAAGCAGGGATGGCAGGACCCGACCGCGTGGCTGGGGCCTGTGTGACTCGGCCCAGAGCTCCACCCGGCACCACCGCCCACAGGAAGGCGCGCTGCCTGGGCAGGCTTTGAAGGCCTCGTCCGTGGAACTTTCTGGTAGCTGGGACAGGAGCACGAAGGGCCAAGCCAAAACCCAAACCAAACAAAGCCCCAGAAGGTAAAGGGAGCCCCAAGGTCCCGGCTCCAGTAAGTGAGGAGGCGGAGCTGGCACCGAGGGGGCAGGACAATGCTCCTTGGGGAAGGAGGGCCTGCACTCGCCCTGCAAGGCCTGGGTCTGCGCTGGGAAGCTGGGGTTGGCCTGGCCTTCGGGGCAGGAGGAGCAGGACTCCTGACAGAAGCAGGATAAAATAATAATTAGAAAACCCCCAAACCTCACACAGCTCTGACTCCAACTCTCAGTCCTCTGAGCCCTTCCCCTCCCCACCCATGGACTCCACGGTGGTTCTGGCACAGCAACCACAAAGCCACTGCCACGGGGCCGGGCCTGAGTCCCTGCCAGCAGATGCCCGGGACAAGGACGCCGACTTGGCATGGTCCTGCTGTCACCTGCAGTGCCAGAGGTCATGGCATCCTGAGCGCTTACATGTTCCCCTCGTCTCATGAATCAGGGCATGGGAAGGGGAGAAGCCATTGATCATTGCAGGAATAGAAGACAGGCCACCCTAAAAGCAGCTGTCTCTCCCCATTAACCCGGGAGCCCTGCATGCCCAAGCCATGCGATTTGCTGCCTGGAAGCAGTGAGAGGTCAGGGCTCCAAGACTGTCATCTCGGCTTGTGTTCACCCTGCTGAGCCCTCTCGGCCACCCTGAGTGGTGACTTTATCACCCAGGCCCACAGCAGGGCTCGCGGGGCTCAGGAGGTGGCAGCGTGCCGGGCCACACAGCCAGCCCACAGAGCTGAGCGGCCGGGGCTGCCACTTCCACGCCAAGAGGCCAAAGGCGAGGGCTCATTCCCAAGATGCCTGCTCTGGCCAGGCACGTGGTTCCCCTCATCTCTGCACCAAGCCAGGGAAGGAAGCACCATGCTCCCCTTATCCTGAGCTGCAGCCCTGAGCTCCGGAGAGGCCCACCCTGGAGTCCAGCCTGGGCCAGAGCGGCTCCTCGTGCCTGCGGCAGCCTGATCCACCCATCCAGACACAGCACCTGTGAGACAGGTGACTCTTGGATTCACTCAGGGGCGCAATGGGGAACCCCAGGCCGACCCCCCCCCCCGGGCCCGTCTGCATCTGTCACAAAGTGTGCGACGGCCTCACAGGTCCATTTCCAGTTCTCCCTAAGAAAACCATCAGGTACTCCTGTGCGAAGCTTAATTTGCAAGTGAGTGAGTTGTCCTCTGTGTTTGTAGTCACAAAGTTATTTAGCTGTTACATGCTCATGCCCAGTGGGAGAGGCACTGACCTAGAAGGCGTCCACACTGGAAACCGTGAAGTCGTAGAGGAGCATGTGATGACATGTGGACGCTCAGGGACAAGCACACACCACCCCAGCTGTGTCATGCACACACACAGGTAGAACATGCACGGGAACTTATGGAAGAGACATCACGCTCTGAGCACCTGGGCTCATGGGGACGAGAGGCTGCCTGCAGGCGGGGTGCAGCACGACGCCGTGGGGACCAGCATGCGCCCTCCGCTCGGGGCCCCATGTCTGTGTCTCACGTGTGCCCAGTTGCATTGCCAGGGACTGGAGGCCTGGGAGAGAGTTGCACACCTGTCTTGTGCACTGCTGCACACCAGGGCCTGGGAGGCTCTGAAAGGCACAAGTGAACACAGACAGCAGGGTGATTAGGCACCAATTGTGTACGCCGCGGCACCCAGAAGGCTGCCTGTCCTGGGAAAGCACAGCAGGACCAGGCAGCAGAGAGTAGGCAGCGCCAGCCTGGCCAGAAAATGCTGCCTGTGTTCCAGGTCATTTTCTAACAATGGCTCTCGGGTCTGAACCGTGTCCTGCATCCCACGAGGAAGGTGGACCAAGAAATGTCACCGCACACCGGTGTCCGCCATCCCAAGGGCCCTGGGAGGACAGCTCTGCGGTGCTGGCTGCGTCCCGCATGTCCTAAATCAAACTCCCTTCCTGAACCAGGGCAGGCAGCTGCCACCTGCAGCCCGCAGCTGTGCCTCTCTTGGGCAGTGGCTCTCCAGCCTGAACCATCGGCCCCCCAGTGAGAAGTGGGAACAGCGGGGAAAGACCAAATCCCTCTGTGCTAGGAGAAATCTCCCCACAGGAAACCCTACAGCAGCTTCCAGACCCTGGGAAGAGACAGACAGGGAAGGCAGCTCTGCCGAGTGTCTGCCCCAGCAGGCTGGAAACCACAGCCCTCCCACTCGGCCCTCCAGGTAGGGCCTGTGCTGTCGGGCACCCTGATGGTGCAGTGGGCGGGGTTGGCATCTGAGCTCTGTTCCAACAGCAGCTGCACTCCTGCCAGCGCTCAGTGCTGCTGTTGATGTTTCCAATGCTCAGTGGCAAATCTGCCTCATAGATCGGGGTGTGCGAGGGTCGGAGGCCGGGCTGGGTGAGCTTCCTGGTCCTGGGAGGAGCCTGTTTATTTGATCAGATCAGCAGGGGAAAGGCTAGCTGCCTAGAACCCACATTTTTCTCTTATCCCAGACCACCATCTCAGATACTTTTCTAAGCGAAGGAAAAGGAAAAGGATGTGAAGAAACAGTGGGCAGCAAGCAGAGTGCCATGTATGCTCACGGCCCTGTTTGCCAGGACACTGCCCTGAGGCATAGGCTCCCTGCTGCTGCCGGCCAAGTCCCCTGCAAGTCCTCTGGCGGACTCTGGGTGGCTCCTGGGTCAGGGGTGGCACGGGACTGTGCGGCAGCAATGACTGCCATGTGGGAGAGCTTGGGTGAGAGGGGCACCCAGAGAAACTAGGGAACAAGGAGCAAGGGAAAAGTGTGCAAACACAGCCACACACATGTGCTCCTGTGCACACACAACTGTGACTGTATTTTTGCCACAGGCCTGTGTTGACCAGGAACAAATTACCGGGGCTCTGAAACCCCCGTGTTTCTCTTACCCAGGGTGGGGGTGGTGGCAGCAGCTCACGGGCACGGGGCATAAGACCGGCTGTGCCCAGCCTGGGCACCCACTCCTGCAGGGTGAGGCCCTGTGCTCGAGCCACCAGCTCTTCAGGGACTCAGCCCCTGCAGACATGGGCATCTGGAGCGGGTCGGGACAGCACGCTGTCATCCAGGTGAGTGACCAGTAGCGCCCTGCGGTCTGCTGTCCTCCCTGCAGTCCAGCGTCCTGGGTGTAGCCACCAGCTGTGACTGAAAGGGTCCAGGCAAAGCCAGGGGCCTTCATCCGAGTGCTGCAGGACACGCAGCAGGAGACGTGGGACCATTGCTGCAGCCCTCCGTTCCTCCCTTCCTCCCAGTACTGGGGCTGGAAGCAGAGGCACTCAACCACTGAGCTGCATCCCTAGCTGTTCTCACTTTCTTCAGTTGCTCAGGCTGACCTCAGACTTTCCACTGTCCTGCCTCAGCCTCCCAAGTGGCTGGGGTTACGGACAGCATCTCCTCACCTGACTGTATAAAGTACTTTCTAACCTGTACAATGCATCTACTTCCTCATTTCCTCCCTTTCAAAAGCAAAACACACCGTATGACTGGGCTGGGCCTCCTTTCTCTGGTCAGGACCCAGCTAAGAAAGACGATGAGCCACGTCCCGAGTTGCAGAATCAGCGGTGACCACGGCCTGTCCCACAAGCACACACTCCTGCTCCGAACAACGGCATTTCCAGTACTTAGAAATTTCATTCTTTGCAGCCAACAGCGGCCTTACCTTGGGGGACGAACGTAGAGGTTAGGGTGGGAGGCAATAGAGCGGTTTCCACTTGGGCAGCCCCTTAAATTCTGCAGTGAGACGCGGGAGCAAAGTGGACTCCGCTCCACTGTAGCATCGATCGGCAGGGGAAGACTGGAGCTGGAGGGGGTGGGACAGTGTGCAGCCAACCACGTGGCAGCCGTGGGGCCGCTGCAGGACGGGTTCTTTTTTGTTCCGTACCAGGGATCGAACTCGGGTCCTTGTGAGCCAGGCTGCGGAACCACTGAGCTAAATCCCCGGCCCTAGGATGGGTTCTCAAATGAGTAGAAACGAAGCCTTGGAACTCCTTTTTTTTTTTTAGTTATCAATTGACTTTATTTCTTCTCATGTGGCATTACCAGCAGCATATATTTTATAAATAAAATATATCATCAAACTATTTAACCATATCATCAGTTATGCTACATTGCCCTAAATGAAGACTATTGGGTATCTGCAAGTCTTATGGTATTTCAAACCAGGTTCTAGCAGCAAATTTGAGTTCTTCAAATGATGACATAAATTCACATTAAAATAAAACCCAAATACAGAATGAGTCTAATACAATTACCAAATAATGAATGGTAGAGTTCAAAGAAAACCCTTGTTAGCATCAGATCATTTTAGTGATTTATACATAATAATTTAGTGTTATAAGTGCCTTT